GTAATGATTTTTAATGAGAAAAGTAGCACACGGTGTGCAGGGTTATTCATGGGAACATGGGGCAGCAGTCTAAATGCTGGTCGCAGGTGGGACTGCACACATCCCCACGGGGCATCCCGTGCAGTCCTTCCAAGGAGCGCCCCATACAGAACGACCTCTGAGGGGCTGCGTGAGCCTTCTCAGGTTGTTGGCTTCAAGCGACATCAGCTTACTGTCTTCCAGTTCAGGGGTCAGATGGCCACAATCCATCTCCGTGGACCAAAGTCAAGGTGGGGCAGGGCTGCATTCCTCCTGGAGGCTCTAGGAGTCTCTTCTTTCTGACTGTGGCCCCTTCACTCCATCTTCAAAGCCAACAGTATGACATCTTCAGATCTCGGACTCCAGCCTTCACAGCTCCTCCTATGGCTCTGACTCTCCTGCTTTGCTTATAAACACCCCTCTGATTACACTGGGTCCATCCCGACAACCCGCCATCACAGAAACCCCTAATTTAATCAGATCTGTCAGGTCCCTTTTGCCACATCTAGTAACATATTGGTAGGTTCTGGGATTCAGACGTGCTCGTCTTTGGCGGCTAGTATTCAGCCTGCCACACCTTAAAGGGAAATAAGCGGGGCCCGGAGCAGTGTGTGGGTTCTCATTTGTTTAAAAAATAAAAAAGAGAGTACGTACGTGTGTGCTTGCGGAGGTGTGGAACACCCCCGATGGCTCCCTAGGAAAGCGGTGAGAGTCGCTGTGTGTGCAGGAACGGGGGCGGGAAGGAGGCATCCTGGTCATAGTATATCTTTTTATAGTAAGGTTTTTTGCTACATGCATGTGTCACCTACATTAAAAATAATTTTTAAGAAATAATACATAGTCACTGCAATAGTTCAGACCTTGGCTATATCCTCACAGACTTTAAGAAAAAAGTGCAAATGCAGTGTTTTCATGAGGATAGGGTCCTACTGCACGTACTCTGCTGTGATGTGGGGCTTTTGGCTTACTGCACTGTTCACGTCTTTCCTCGTCACAGGGGGCGCTCGCCAGCCCTAGGCTCTGCCGCTGCTCAGGCCTACCTAACCCACTTGTCCAGACCCGCGGGGGCACGTTGAGGTTCTTCGCTTCTGTCCAGAGCAGCCGCAACACTGCAATGTCTTTTTTTTTCTAAATTGGAATGAAATTCATATAACATAAAATTAACCATTTTAAAATGAACAATTCAGTGGAATTTAGTCCATTGCTGATGTCATGAAACTGCCACGTGTGTCTAGTTCCAGAACATTTTCATCACTCCGAACCCACTAACCAGTCGCTCCTTGACCCCCTGCCCCAGCCCTGGCAACCACGACACGGCTTTCTGTCCCTACAGCTTCGCAGATTCGGGATGTACATATCAGTGGGATCGTATAGTATGTGGCGTTGGCGGCTAAGGGCTTCTTTCACTCAGCGTAACGTTTCAGAGGCTCGTCCACGGTGTGGCGGGGGTCGGTGCCTCATTTCTTTTATGGCTGGGTACCGTTCCGTTGTGCGGATATGACGTCTTTGATTTATCTGCTCATCCATCACTGGGCACTCGGGTGGGTTCCGCCTGTTGACCGTGAATATCGATGGACTGCTATTTGTTCGGATGCCTGTTTTCAATTCTTTTGGGGTATATGCCCGGGATCCAGTCCTTCTACGTACCCTCTGAACTTTGTATTATGTTCAGACACTTAAGCAAGTTAAAAATAGTTTGTAAGAAAGGATTGCAAAGCGCATCCTGAGACAATAGCAGTGTGACATATCTGGACAAGCGTCTTCTTATTTTGCAGATCCAGAGACGACAGGAGAATGGCCGCCTGGGATGACAAGGTAATTGATCTGTGGGCCAGCAGCACCGGAGGACCTCCCAGCCTCAGGAAGATAATTCTGTTGGGTGTTTCTAACAGGATGGGGCAACGCCTGTTCGGGGTGTTTCCGCCGTCCCAAAGTGTTTAAAGTCACAGGCGGAGCCTGCAGAAGGAGCTCGCGTAAGCTCAGGAGAGCCTGATGGTCTGAGGCAGGCCGTTCAGTTCCCAGCTCTGCGTTTTAGTAACCGTGTGCCCTTAGGCCAGGCCCTTCACCTCCCTGAGCCTCAGTTTCCTCATCTGGAAAATGGGGACAAAATTACTTACCAGCCCTGTTCTTGAAGGTTTGGCAAGAAAGGTCAAGGAAAGCATGGCCTCAGAACGCTGGACCAATACTGAGCCCGTAAGGGGCTTTTCCCTACCACCCATTTTACGGATAAAGGCACTTGGGTACAGAGAGGTGAAGCCACTGGCTCAAGATCACACAGGTGGGAAGTGGCGGAAATGAGATTTCAGCCTGGCCTGACCCCCGAGCCAGGGCTTTGCCTCCTGCGTGGTGCTGCCGTCCCAGACCACGGTCCTGATATCTGGGGTGTGAGTCTGTTGGGTTTGGGGGACATCGGTTGTGAAGGGTGGGGACAAGGTGGAGAGCAGTGTTGCCTTCCATCTCGACTGCTCACTTGGAGGTTCTGGGGGCCCGGGAGGCAGAGCCGTTGGGGCGGTGCTGGGAGCTCAGGGGAGCAGCAGGGGATTCTGGCAGAGTCCCGGATGCAAATGTGAGGGTCAGCAGGACCAGGGGGTGATGCTGGTGGTGACTTTGTACTTCAGCAAATTGACGACCCCTTTAGTTGTGAGACTGTTCTGATTGTAGAGCTTTTTATGACGTAGGAGGGGAAATGGCCAAGGGCACTTCACACGAGGCCAGCAATTCTGCTTTCAGAAATGCTGAAATATGGGGAAGTATGCACCTTTGAGTTAATGAGACACGACGGCAGTGGTAATAGTGATAATAACATGAGCGACTCACAGCTACTGAAATGCCAGGCGTGTGCTGAGGACTTTCCAGGTATTCGTTTTTGTTTGTTTGTTTTTTGAGGAAGACTGGCCCTGAGCTAACATCCGTGCCCATCTTCCTCTACTTTGTATGTGGGACGCCCGCCACAGCATGGCTTGATAGGCAGTGCTAGGTCCACTCCTGGGGTCTGAACTCGCGAACCCTGGGCCGCAGAAGCGGTGCACGTAAACTTACCTGCTGTTCCACCGGGCTGGCCACTAGGTATTTGTTTTTTTAAGTCCTGCAAACAACCCTGTGACTTAAGTACCATTATTTCCCCCATCTTTGTTGTTGTTAGTGCCGTTGAGTCGATGCCGACTCCTAGTCGGACCCTGTGGACAGCAGAGCGGGACCCACCTGGTCTTTTTGCGCCGTCCTCTCCCCGTCCGGCACCGTATCAGACAATGTTCTGCTCTATTCATAGTGTGTTCACGGCCAGTTTTCTCGGAAGTGGGTGGCTGGCTCCTTCTTCCTAGTCTGTCTTAGTCTGGAAGCTCTGCTGAAACCTGTCCACCATCGATGACTCTGCTGGTATTTGACATACCCACGGCATAGCTTTCCGCATCACGGCAACGGGCAGCCGCCACTGTATGACAACCCACAGACGGTGGTGTGGCTCCCTGACCTGGAAATGAACCCGGGCCGTGGTGGTGAGACCACCTTCCCCATCTTACAGTTAGGGAAATTGTGGCACAGCAAGGTTTAGCAACTGGCCCAAGCTCACACAGCTAGCAAGAGGTTCAAACCACCCCCTCCCCCCGCCAGCTCCTGTGCCCTTAATCACTCTGTGATTGTGCCTTGAACGCTTTCAAATGTGATCCGTCCCGAAAATGGGGGAAAATGGGCTAGATCCCTGGGGAAGAGCTCAAGGAAGAGTCCACTGCAGGCAGGAGGGAAGCAGACCGGGGAGCACCGGGGCAGCAAGGGCTCCGGGGAGGACTTCTTCCCTCATTCATTCATTCATTCATTCCCCTAACAAATGTCTACCAAGTACCAGCCGTGTGCCAGGCACCAACATAGCTATCGGGCTGCAGCAGCACAGCACAGACACTGGTCCGGCCTGCCAGTGGCTTCCTCTCCAGCTGGGAGACAGACCCTTATCAAGAAGTCACAAAACTGTGTGAAGGTGCCTGTTGGGGGCGGGGGGTGCTGCGCAGGAGAGGCCCTGGCTAACTTTGGAGCTTCATAGGGGCCAGTGAGACCTTCAGATCAGGGAGGCCTCCCTGAGCTGACACCTGGCGAGCCAGAGGAGTAGCCGGGTGCAGGAGGAAGACTGAGGAAGGTGTCCCGGCAGAGGAGGCAGCCTGTGCAGAGGTCAGCAGGTGGATGGGAGTGGGGCCGGCGGGGGCAGCCCCATGGGGGCCACAGGCCGGGGGGAGACAAGGGCCTGCAGAGCCTGGGGGACATGGAGGTTTCAGTGGTGGTTCTAAGAGCAGTGGGCCGGCGGTGCAAGGTGGTCAGCAGGGCGGCGACTGGCCAGGCCGGGGCTCAGAGAGGTCTCTAGTGCTGTGTGCAGACGGATGGAGAGGACAGAAAGGACAAGCAGGGCCGGGCAGGGAGCCCTCTGGCAGGCAAGCGGCGCTGGAGAGAAGTGAGGTTGCGTGGGGATTCACAAGGGACACGTGTGGGATTTGGGGAGCGTGGCGGTGCAATGCACACAATGTGGGACTGCTGTTCAGAGGAGAAGTTCCCCTTTCCCTTGGAAGGTCTTAGAAGGCTCTGCAGAGGCAGCCTGAACTGGCCTGGGGATTTGAATTTATGGGATTGAAGGAAAGGGCATTTCCAGTAGGACGACAGTCACCACCGTGTGGAGTTGTGACAATGCCTGATATGGGGTGGGAAGCATAAGCCTGCCACCCCATAACGGGCGTCCGTGAGTTCCAGCTACTGTTACTAGTCAAAGGCAGAGAGAAAGAGTTCACACTTCCCCTTGTTTGTAGCTTCCTATCAAATTAGGCACACCAGAAAAGTAAGCGGAGAGGGCGACAGCGGGTATACGGTGGTGACACTGGCTTGCTCCTATATCTGGGGAGGGCTGGACCACCCACACAGCTGTCCGCAAAAGAAATCTGACAGTGTGTGTCAAGACTCATGAAAATGTTTGTAATCACACTTGGTCATCTCGCTTGCAGAAAAGGAAATAGCCCGTAAGAAGGGAACGGTGCAGTTCGCGAGCCGTGGCTCTGAGCGCTCGCGATGCCGTTGAGCGGGGCTGCACCGTTACTCCATGTGCCGTGAGGGAGAGCAGGGCCGCGTGGACTGCGACGCGCTGTGACACCAGTCCATTGTAGGACACGTGGGCACTTCAGAAATGTGAAAATGCGGTCTTAGAATTGGTGCTCACGGTGCAAAAGTGGGGAACAATGAAATCAGTAAATGCGATGGTGAGAGCATGAACTCCTTGCTGCGTTTCTGGGCCGTGAGAAAGGCCCAAGTGTGATGCGTGGAGCTAGTGGGACAGAAGACACCAAATTGTCTGCAGTCCTTGGCTGTAACTATAAAGACACAGAGGTGAGAAAGAGAGGATGTTTGGTGTGTGGGATTATGAATTTTCTCTTGCTCGTGCTTTCACGATAGTCGTACTAACGTAGATCCAGACTCAGCATCTGTCCATTGGGGTGAATGCCAGCAGGTGAAGCTGGGGGTGTCCAGGCGAGTCTGGGGGGTCTGAATGGCGCTGGGGAGGGGCTGAGGTGGGGTGGGGTGGGGTTGAGGACACAGAAGCCACAGGGGAAGCAGAGGGCTGGAATGGAGAAGCAAAGACAGCCCCGGGGAACTCCAGGGGTGGGAGCCTGTCCATCATCGCACGAGGCCAGGACATGGGCTGGCCCTGCAGCCCTGGGGGAGCTGGGAAGACTGGCCAGGAGCCTTTGCTGAGTCAGAGAGCAGGCGCCTTCTCGGAAGGTGCCCTGCTGAGTGGAGGTGGTTTTAAACCGCTGCGTTCGCAGGATTGCCTTGGGGAGCTTGCTGGTTGCCCGGCTCCCCTTGTCTCTGGGAGCAAGACGGCCGTGCTGTGGGAGAAGCCGGGGCCATCTCAGCCGTGCTCGAGCCGTGCTCGAGCCGGTCTGCCAGGGCCAGCTCCGCTGACAGGGCTCACCAGCTGCCCTCCTCAGAGTCCCTCCGCCCCTTCCCACCTCTCTGAGCCTCAGTTTCCCTCTTCTGGGAGCCGGGAACTCTGACCTTTCCTCAGAGACTTGTGGTGAGGATGACACCGGGCCGGGCCGAGAGCGCACTTGGCAGGGTGCTGGGGCCAGCAGACCCTGACCGCGCGGGAGCTGGCGACTCAGTCCTGAGGCCGCTTGGGTCCCCAGCCTCATCTCGGTGACTGTGTGTCACCAGCACCTCGGGGAGCCTGGGAGCCAGGCGTGCTGCAGGCCCCGTGGCCCTGTGGCTCGTTTCTCCGAGGCGTCTGGAGGCCCCGGATCCATCTAGGGTGCTGGGCGTCGGCCTTGGCAGCACGCGGAGACCCCAGCCCCAGGCCTCTCCCACACCCACCAGGCCACAGCCTCGGGGCCGGCGCCCAGCGCTGGGGTTGTTAAAGCTTTGGGGGTTCCAGTGTGCAGCCAGGGCCAAGCCTGGGAGACCACAGCCCGTACCACGCAAGGCAAGAAGGAGGGGCGCCCGGACCGCCACCTGTGCCCCTCCCCGCAGCCGATGCGGTGCCCAGACGGTGGGTGACCCAGTGACGCTGGCGATGGGTCTCTGTTTCTAGCCAGATAGCCACGTTGTTTTCTTTCCATGCTTTTGTTTTCTTTCTACGCCTTCGTAAACAAACAGCATGACTTATGCTTCCCTGACAACAAGGCTGATGTCACAGCCTTGGACAGGGCTGTTGCCTCTCTGACACATCTCCCTCGGCCGGGGCAGGACCCTCCTCCCCGTACCCGTGTCTTTCAAACTCAGCCCACTGGTGACTCCTGCAATCAGCCTTTTAAGAAGTGAAATAGAATCAGGTAGAAGGTGTGAGTGTCCTGCACGTGGTAATTCAGTGTTGGCTCCAGGATGTGCGTTTGGGGGTGTGTCCTGAGAGGCAGCCTCTAATGTGTATTTTTTATTGAGCAACACTGGGCCGAACGCCCTGCCCAGCCCCGGCCTCCACCAGCTGGGAGCCAGGTCCGGGGGCTGTTCAGAGAGGCCGTGTAGGAGGAGGGGGCTCTGGGCCAGCAGCCTGCATCACAATCCGAGCTCTGCTTCTCACTGTGTGACCTGGGGCAAGTCACTTGGCCTCTCTGTTCCCAGCTTCCTCATCTGTAAATGGAGACCGTTCAGCCCCCACCTCGTGGGGTTGCTGCAGTGTATTCTAAAAGTCTTTGCACAGAGCTGGGGCATGGCAGGTACCCTGGGGATAGTTACAATCACTAGAATTTCCATGACCGTAAATATTATTTCACACATCGTCTCTACCCAGCCTCACGATCATCATCATGCCGGGTTGGCAGATTTGTCTGTCAAGACTGAAGGGATCCTGACCCTACAGGAAAAGGAGAGAAATGGTGGAGAGCACGGCTCTCGGGGTACCTGGGCTGCTGGTGGGGTCCTCAGCCCATAAGCAGCCCCCCGAAGCTGGGCAGCCGTGGCGGTGGTTTTCTCGTGTACTTCAAACTTCCTCCCCGCCCTAGAGAAGGAAAGGCTGACACGCTTATTTAAAGACTTCCTTGGTCTTAAAAATAGGCATTCCTCAGAACACGAGCTTCCGGGGGCTGGGGCTGCGCCGGCTGGGGAGCTTGCTGCTGGAGTCCTCCTACCTCCCCCGGGGGAGAGCTTGGCTCGAGGGACCCATTCTGCCCTCCAGGTATGTTTGGTGGGAGCCTGCAGTCCGCCAGGCGTGCGGGACACCCCACGAGCAGGAGCCCACCCTGTCTCTGCCCTGCCGGCGGGTGACAGGCTCGAACAGTCACACAAACAGGTGGACTCGACTCCTCAGGGGAGGGGTGTGGGGCCCTGTGTGCATGCAAAGCGGGGAGGTACCAGTCAGTCTCCTGGAGCTGGGTGCTTGGGGAGGGACCTCCTGAAGGAGGAGAAGAAGATACATGATGAGGTGGGAGAGGGGTAAGCATTGCCGGTGGAGGAAACCACATGTGCAAAGGCCCTGTGGTTGAAGAAACATGTCACGTCTTAAGGGCCGAATGGAGAAAGTGTGGCCAGAGCAGAGAGAGTGGTGCGAGGTGAGGTAGGATAGGCCCAGCCATAGCATACAGAGTGGGTCTGGGCCTCAGGAAGGCTCTTTAGTCTTTATTTTTAAAAGCAGTGGGAATTCAAAGAAGAGTTTTAAATAAGAGAGTGTGTCAGGGGTCCCCAAGATCACCCCAGGTTCAGTGATTCGCTGCGAGGGTTCATAGGACTCAGCACACAGTTTGACGCATGGCTAAGGTTTTTACAGCAAAAAGATACAAAGAAAATTCAGCAAGAGGAAAAGGCGCATGAGGGGAGGCCCAGGGGAAACCAGCCCAGGCTTCCAGATTCCTCTCCCAGCGGAGGCCCCAGGATGCACGGAAGTCCTCAGTGAGGAGCTGACTGCATGTGCGAACCATCTGTTGGGAAAGCTCGTTAGCAGCTCCAGGGGCCTTGTGGGGGCTGGTCACGTGGGCACCATCTGCCAGGCACTTAGGAAAATTCCAGACTCCCTGAAGGAAAGCAGGAGTTCAGTAGAACCACGTTGTTGACATGAGCTGTCCAGGCACAGCGAGTTCTTACCAGGGAGTGGTGGGACCTCCCGAGACCCAGGTGTCCGGATGCCAGCGAGGGCCAGGCAGGCCTTTCTGGGGCTGCTGCCTCAGGTCTTTTCTGCGCAGGGAGTGACGTGGGTGTGTGTCGAGCAGCGCAGGCGGTGGGCTGCTGATGGAGAGGCTGGAGGCCGGCGAGCAGGAGGAGCTGGCGCATCCTCCCGTGAGTGGGCCTGGAGGCGAGGCCAGCGCGAGGCAGAGGACGGCAGAGGCAAATGGGGGACTCAGCTTGTGGAGAGGCTCGATGCATGGGGACCACGGGGGAGAGAAAGTGGGCCTGGGGACAGCTTCTCTGACCCGGCCTGGGTATGTCTTAAGACCCCTGGACCGGAAGATAAGACCCAGGTGCCAGTCCAGGGACTGGTGGCAGCTGCCCTGTTGCGGGGCCCCGCTCCCCACGTGTTGAGGGAGGCGAGGTTGCATCGCAGAACCTGGATTCCACCTCTTAGAAAGTCATCATTCTTTTTGCTTTAAAAAATCAGCTTTTCTGCCATATTGTCGCCTCGTTGACAGAGCATCTTGGAAAGAACAGAGCTGGTAGACTCGAGTTCCTACGCTGGCTTTACCACTTACTTCTGTTTCTCTGTTTTTCACTGCTTGCTCCGTCGTTTTGGCTTTCTTAGCCGGGATCCCGGTGATGCATGCATTGGTTCCTTCTCCCTCCTTGCCCCCGAGTGCTTCATTCTCCACTCAGTCCTCTGCGGGCCAGAGCTCCCTCCAAAAATGCTCTTTCTTATGGTTAAACCTAATACGATAAAAATTAAATGGTTCTCTTCGCCCTCCAACCCAGTCCCACCTCCTTCCCAGAGGTAACCTTTCCATTTGGGTTGTTTATCCGTTTTAACAAAAATGGAATTCTGTGGTACATTCTGGTCCATAACATGCTGCTTTTCACTTAGATTTCGCAGAGATGGAGGACTCCTTTCCATGTCAGCGCCTCCAGGTGCACGGGCTGCCGCAGCCCGAGCAGCCAGGAGCATCCGTGCTGTGGGTCCACCACGGTGCAGTTAGTGACGGGCTCTGAGGTCACTCCCGGGTCTGGCTGCTGTGGCAGGACTGCAGCGAGCATCCGTGTGCTCAGGTGTGAGTCCCGTCTCAGGGCAAATGATAGGGACGTTCTAAATTTTGATGGAAACTGGTTTAAGGCTGATGCCCTCCTCTGCTCCCGTGCCTGGCACATTGGAGAGACTCAAACATTTTTTCAAAAGATGGAAGAAATAGGGGCTGGCCCCGTGGCCGAGTGGTTAAGTTCGCGCGCTCCACTGCAGGCAGCCCAGTGTTTCGTTGGTTCGAATCCTGGGCGCGGACATGGCACTGCTCATCAAACCACGCTGAGGCAGCGTCCCACATACCACAACTAGAAGGACCCACAACGAAGAATATACAACTATGTACCGGGGGGCTTTGGGGAGAAAAAGGAAAAAATAAAATCTTTAAAAAAAAAAGATGGAAGAAATACCCCACTGCGCTCCTGGAAAGGGCACGCGTGCCCACCACATGGCACCTGGGAGTGCCCCTTCCCTACGCCTCTGTCAGCCTGCCACACCCTGTGACTCTGGGCCCTTGGTCCCTCCTCCCCATGCCTCAGTTTCCCCTTTTCTGTAGGTGGCGAGCCCTCCCCTCTCTGCCCTGCCCAACTCTGAGGATCGTTAGGGGCATTCGGTGAGAGCAAGAGGGAAGGGAGTGGAATCTGAGAGCAAAAGCAGCAGCCATGCCAGGACTGGCTGCAGACATAGGCTTCGTCCCGTGGTTTTGTGACCTCTGGAGGAGACTGCTTCCTCCTTGGAG